AACTACCAAGAAATTGACCTGTAGCAATAACGTGTAATATTACCACTAATAGTACACAAGTATTCCAATCTCTCCACATCCTCCCCAACGTTTACCTTTGTCTGTCTTTTGGATGATGGCTCTCCTAGTGAGTGTGGGGTATTATTTCACTGTGGTGTTTATTGATTTGCATTTTCTTAATGATTAATGACATTGAAAATTTTTTCATTTGTTTATTGAGCAAGTGTGTGTCTTATTTGAAGAAGTGTACATATATTCATGTCCTTTGACCATGTTTTAATGGAATGATTTTTCTTTTGATTACTGAGATATGTTTTTATATATCCTGGAAACAAGTCCATTTAAAATATATAAATCATAAATATTTTCTTCTTCACTCTAGCTTGACTTTTCAGGTTTGGGTAGTATCATTTTATGGTGTCGTGAATTATTTTATCTGTCTCGTCTGGCCATTGTCTTTTTAACATTCACTAAATGACTTGATGGGACCATGTAAACGGAATGTATAGGACTCGAGTTGGAAGTAGGTCCGTGTTGGAACCCTTTGGGTTTAAAATGTGCTATCTCAGAGGGAGAATCAGGGATCTAAGTTACATCAAGAAAGAAGAATCAGAAATGGATTGTATCAGCTGGACCTTATATTCCTGTGCACTGAACCTCCTAAATCAAGGCTACAGAAATGTGACACGGGACGAGTGATAGTAGCAGAGGTAACCGAAGGAAGAGACAGAGCCTTAGACAGAGTGGAGTGAGTAAAGCTGCATGCCTCCAGACAGGAAACTCACTTGGGAATGGGGTGCTTCCAGGCACTGGATCAGGGGAGCTTGGTTTGCTGACATAGGAGGTAGAGCCCAGCAACTTTGGGCTGAGATGTATGGTGGAGTAGTGTACCTGTTGAGCATTTCTTGCTGTGCTAAAGGGGTTTTATAATGGGGACTAAGTAGGATAGAAGAGCCTTGTGGCTGAGAGTTTGGGGAATAAACAGAGGCACGACTGAGGGCATGGCTGAGAAGGGGCACTTCAGATTGGGAGAACTATATCCTGAACATGTCTGAATTTGAATAGTAATCTGCTAACATCCCCAGTAAACTGCATAGTCCTAAGTATTGTCTGTGAGTTCTGTGTGGCATTGCACTACCTTTTTCAAACCCAACAGAATAACAGAGATTGCCACAGGAGGACAGTTGGTGTCAGAATTGGTCAAAGGCTTCGAGAGTGCAGGCACAGTGGGCTGTGCCTCCCAGGAGTTGGTCTGGGGCTGCGGTTGACTTGGATTCTTCTTCTCCCTTGTGAAGTCACAGGAAGTCAGATGCAACCCGCACGCCGCTTTTACACATTTGCAGCACAAAAGTCTTTGTTTTCACGTTCTTACTTTAATGTAATTAGTTTCATCTCTTTTTTTCTGTCGTTTGTGCTTTTCGTGTTTTGTCAAAAACACAACCACCTAATCCAGCATATAAATGACCGACTCCCATGCTTTTCTTGTGGCTTTAGCTTTCAAATTTAGATCTACTTAGGTTCATGGTCCATTTTGAGCTAAATTTTCATATACAATATGAGGAAGGGGCCCAACTTCATTCTTTTGTATGGATGTATTCCATTTTACAACATTGATGTAAAGGTTATTTTTTATGCATGTAATTGTCTTGGTGCACTTTTTAAAAATCAATTTGTCATAAATATAATTGTAAAATATATGACCATTTCTTGACTTTCAATTCCATTCCATTTATCTGACCACCTATTTTAAAGCCAGTAGAACACATTCTTGATTACTATAGCTTCCTACAAAGCTTTAAATCTGAAAATGTGGGTCTGCCAACTTCACTCTCATTTCCAAAGTTGTTTGATTATTTGTGGCTCCTTGCTTTTTCATATGAAAATTTCTAGTTTCTTTAAAAAAGAAAGAAACTGATTAACTAATAAATTGATAATTATTGCATTAAATCTATAGATCAGTTTTGGAAGTATTGTCAATCCATGAACACATATTATCGTTACATTTATTAAGGTATGCTTTCTTGTAAAAGTGTTCAAAATTTTCAGTTTATAAGTAATATATTTATTTCTTAGGATTTATTGCTAAGTATTTTATTATTTAAGAAGCTATTA